ATACTAAAAACTGTCAAATGTCAATTTTATTCTACAATCAAGAATAATTGTTGATTGAAAAGTCAGCTCTTAATTTGACGTTTTCCTGTAAAAATAGAACATCTAGTTATCGCCCGCGGGATAAAGACCGCAAAGTCTTTGTGGGAGTAAAATAGATTTTTTCTTGTCTACGCTAGTTAAGTTCTAGCTTAACCTTTATTATGATATTACCTACAAACAAACCGAACCTATTTTCCTTTTCTTTTAGATAAAAACTTACATTAACTTAACAAACTAGACATTTACATATAGCCTACAAATCTAGCCAAAAAGCTTATTTTATTAGGTAAAATAAAGATATTAGTAGAAAACAAAGGCATTCAATAAATAGAAAGGCGATTCCATTATTTACAAGTAAAATGGCGGCCGCAATATATCTGTTTGTCTGGCCTATTACCATATGTTACTGAGAAGCTAACTTATTACGATGTCTGTGGAAAATAATGTAGTGTAGGTAGACTGTGGCACTTATTAGACTTTCCAAATTCTTTATTTGTGTTAGAAGAGGATTTTGTGAATATTTTTTTAAGTATAATGACTTTGAAGAAAACTGTCTCGTTGGCCAAGTGGTCGCAAGTGCAACTGCCGAGCAAGAGGTCTCGGGTTCGTTTTCCCGGGTCGAGCAAAGTATTACCGGGTTTTAAAAAAATCTTAATGGTAGCACGGAGTCTCGAAATGTGCCCGGTATATGGCAACCTATTACATGGGACTCATAACATAAAATAGTGAAAAGTGGGTGTTACATGGTGCAGTAGTTTTAATTGCTGTAATGTGCCCTCTGCCTACCTCTTCGGGGATAAAAGGCTCGATGTTATGTTTTTAAGTACACTGCGAAATGAAATAGCCTGTGGTTTTTCTGAACCGATATAGACTTTAAACTTTAAAAAAATAGTATGCTCTGTTTTAAATACCATTATACTCCTTATAATATTAATTATAATATAAGTAGTAAAGCTAGTTGCTTATTCCAAGGTGTAGATTCCTATGGAGAAGAACGAGCAAGAAACTCCATAGGTTACTCTTTCTCAATCGTGTTTACAATACAATTCTCTAGTTACATAGTTTTGTAGGTTCAATTGTGTGAGAACAATGCAACATGACATAGATAATATCAAGCCTTCTTTAGATGCCGACGACCTAGAGGGTTACCGACGCTCTGGCTTGAAGCAGGAACGGGGTGGTTTTTAGTCAATAAGAGTCTGACACTTCGTCTCGTCTCACCCAAAGCCAGAAGCTATAGAATGATTTTTTTCCCTCAAAAAACATAATTATGTTCAGAAGGTAATACGTATAAAACAGAACGTATATACGAATAATGCCTATCCATATTTATTTTAGCAAACAGTTCAAATAGATTATATCAAAGGCCATATGCTGCGGCTACTAGCTTTTAGAAAATTATCCGCAAACATTACCCGTGTTTAGTAAGCACACGTTGAACACTGTCATTACGGTCATAAGCAATTAACGTAATGTACTTAGTATTTACTTGGACACATAACATTTCGTAATTACGCTGTGTAATCTTCTAAAGAGTTGGGTACTCACATTTTGTTTGTTTTTTAAATGCGATGCCCCCCCCACCCACACTAGAATTTTCTCCTGTGTCGTGGGTGCGTTTACAATCATACAAATTCACATACACATGACACCCGAAACTATAATTTGTGGATCACACAAATTGTTGTTCCGTGTGCGAATCGAACCCGCGACACGCTGCACGGCAGCCGGTTGCCCAGCGACCGCACCGACCGTGCAGTCAATTTTACAATTAATGCAAAACCTTTCTGTAGTTATGTTATAACCCTGTTGCTATACACCGGCTCCCAATTCAGACATACGTACCTAAAAAAGAACATAAAAAAATTAATAATATTTGGCCAATCTGCAAATTACAGCTGATATTTATTATTAGGTAGATGTGTTTATGATCACTCGACCATTGTTTTTAATTTGACCCCAAACTGAATATTTACAAACTGCAGCACTACAGCTGGTTGCCAAACCACTCATACTCACATATACATACTAGTACGAGAGATGACGACGAAAACCATGTCTCATAGCAATATGGCAAAAACCCTATAAAATCGTTAGATTGTATGATTCTGAACCCGACTAGGTGTGTAGTAACGGTCGAAAGTGTAGCAACTGCGTGGAAGGCCATTTGTGCAGTGTCAAAAATATCTGAGTATCGAAAAGTTGTCTGATAGGCAAGGTGCTACACTTATTTTGTCTGATATACATTTTTTGCACATGTGGACAACTTATTTTATCATGTCCAACAATTTTCAGACATATTGCCATGATACCGATCGGTAAAATTTGTTAACATTTTCAAAACGGTCTCAATATTTAATGCGTTCACATTTTCGTCTGAAAATTGTTTTTTTCGCATCAAATAACCAAAATTTACTAATAAAAAAGATTTTCAGACGTATTGCTATGAGACATTTTTTTGTCTGGTGTTTTGTGGTCAGATCAAACGCTACGCGGAAAATGTGTGATATGGTATTTTCGAGTTCAGGATAATCGTATCTATCGATTTGATGCGGTTTTGGCCGTATTGCTATGAGACAAAAATTTTGGTCGTCATCTCTCTAACTATACATTTGTGTAGTTCGAATTTAGGGGCTGGTTTACTTGTCACAAGATACTTGAGGTTGTTTTAAGTGCGTTCTTGTTTTTCTTCTATTGATTGTCATGATCTTTCGCTCTCATCTAATACGTAGTCAAGTACCTCTCCAGTCAATAACGTTTCGAGATGTCCCACTACAAATAACTAAACAGTTAACCTCATTAGTTTGTTGCCAAAATAACAAAAGATCCCAATGATTTTCAGCGATACATCTTCTACGTTCAACATAATATAATCATATACAAACCAACTCAACTTTGTATGATAATATTTGCTTACATGTTGCAAGCTGATGTAAAAGCCAATATAAAGTTTATGGGTATATGTAAAGCCGCCTTTAAGTACTGAAATCAGATAAACAGGTATTGGTGTTATCAGTTCGGCTTCGTGGAACAACAAGAGTTGCGGGGGTTAAGGATTGTTCACACCGAACGCACGGCAATGCGAGGTTTTTTAACGGACTTCAAAGAGAAAAACAGGAACTTCTCATCGTTTGACCTGTATGTCTGTGATTATCTCGCAATTGGTTAAACCGATTTTGATACGGTCTTCAGAAAAGTATTTGTTAAACTTAGGAGAAGATTTCAGTATATTAACTAACCGACTTCAAAACAAAAGAGGGGGCTAAAGTAGTTTTTTTTTAAATTAGCTTATGAAAGAATTATGTAGCAATATATTTTTCCCACATTTTGCTAGCATGGCCATACTTACATGGCTTGTGTAGAGTAATTACCTATTACGAATATTCAAAAGTTACCGTAAAAATATTTTTCAAAATGTTTGGTCTTGAATCTCTTGAAACATTTCGAGGGAAAGTGACCGTTAGCGCAGCTGATAGTTTACTACCTAGACAGGCGAGTATCGTTACGGACAGCAAAAATGGTGATGTCAGTGCCTTTACAATTGATCTTCGCGGCGACATTACCAAACTGCCGGAAGATAAAACTCCAGACAGTGGAACCTTTGCAAAATCTCTTGGAGGTGGTACTGGTATCGTTACGGGTGGCAAAAGTGCTGATGTGAGTGCCTTTACACGTGATTTTGATGACGACATCAGTACTCTTACAAGAAGCAAAGCTGCAAAGACAAAAGGTTTATATGGAGACACTAATATAAATCTCATTGAGTTAAACAATTTGCAATATTCTAAATACTGTATGGCGCACGGAACAGACTAAACGGGGCTTAAAGTCTTTGTTGTAGCTAATGAACAAAAATTTTATCATCTAAAATCGTAGCGTCGCATAGCCCAGTGTGAAACATCCCTTACAGAATCAACTGTTTTGACGTATAGAATGGGGATTTGCGGCTTCCCAAGCTGATTGCAGGCTTTACTTCCCTTTGTAAACTAAATTAGGGATTATATCTCTCCAATCATATTTTATTTCAAACTTATTTTTAGATCGCCGTTTCACTGATAATTGAATTTGCGTTCCGAGTACCGAGACTTCTTTAATATTAAACTACGCGTCCATTTTTTTTAAAACGTATTTGACAAGGAGTCCGCGGTTTTAGGTGTATAACAGTTACTAAAGGGAGTTTAAAGTTTTCGATTTAATATGAATGAATAGGTCATTTATCTATTTGTGTATCTATCTATTCATTATACAATATGTAATCAATAATCATATCATTACTTGTTTTTTTACAAAACGATCTTCAACACCGATAAAACAACGCACATCTTTATTCTCTTAAAACTAGAACGAAGACATCGAATTCAATTTAAATATTTGAATTTGGAAATTGGAACTATTCAAATAAGAGTTTATAGGTGGAGTTTTACGAGTAAAATTGTCTTTGTCTATAGTTTCTTTGTGTGATCATTAGGTGCAAAGAGGTTCGTTGTTAAAACAAAGTTTTCTTTAGTTTAACGAGTTCTGTTCCTCTGTTTGGTTTGAACCTTTGTTATTATTTTAAAGGACTGCACTCACTACAATTATTGGCAGTATCTAGTCGTTATTTTCTTTGAAGTAAATTTTTTTGGTACTTTAATTAAGTGATAGTGTTTTCTGTTTCAATTTTTGTTTTAGTGACTTAAGGTGGATTAATCGTTAACTTTCTTGTAGATGCATTTGTTAAGTTTAATTTTTTTATCTTTGTGTTTAGTATTAATAATTTAGTTTGAAAAATAGAGTAGACAAGACAATATGACATTAAGGTTCATTACAACAAAAAACAACCAAAAAAGTTTGTACGATTGATTTTTCATTCATTTCTACATAAACGACAAGAAAAATTACTATGACAAAAAGTATTAACTAGTTTTAGTTGGCAATTAATTAATTAAACAGTTTTAATAATCATAAATATTCTTTAACAGGTATAAGAATGTTGGACCAGCCCTACATGACGGACTTGATCGAAGCGAACTCTATGGGGCACGAGCCCCATAAGATTCACATTTACAGCGCTTCCTGGGGGCCTACGGATGATGGCAGGACTGTTGATGGACCCCGTAATGCTACTATGAGGGCTATTGTACGAGGAGTGAATGAGGTAAGATTTAGGAACTGTAATTGGGATATTGACAGGGTATGAAAATTAAAAAATCTAATTAGTCCGTAAGTAGGTAATGAAGGTAATGAAAAAATATTAGACACGTAATTTTTTATTTTGTCGTATAATAATAACAATACTTAGATAAAACGAATCAAAGTTTAGGAGTGGGGCTAAAACGTTATTTCTACGTATAAAATGTACATAGAAATGATGGCACGCGACATATCTAATCAATATATCGTCAAAAGTAAAAATACGTGTTTTATGATTTAAAATAATCTACCAGACGAATATTAAAATAAAAATTAGGCATCTACCCTAGATTTATCAACATATGAAGTGTCGAAACGCAGACCTACACGAGACATGTTTTCTATTGTGTCTCATATATCGACAGACAAGAGGTTCATAGACAACAAATTAACCCTATAGAACTAGATTTTCTTGAGACAAATGTGATCGCATTGGAAACCTTAATAATTAAAATTAACATAAACAATAATTGTTCCTGTACTTAGGCATAAAAAATGGTTTCTATTACTTTGGAAATATAGATAGAGGTTTAAAGTTTCTACATTTCAACGTTCTACGTCGTATCGAGTATCGATTGTGTCTTCACGCCCTCGTCTGTCTCCCATGGAGATAGGCAGAGACTATGGAACACAAATCTCACTTAAACCGGGGGTTAAATAAAAAATACCAGTAAGACCACCCGATTGCCAAAAATGTAGCGAGTTTTTCGTGAAATAGATTCTGATATTTAAAAATAGTATTTTCTGAATCGGCATTTTATATTTCCAAACTAAAATAGATAGGTACGCCAGTGCTCAAATCCGGCCGTTGATATATGTCTATAAATTGCACTGACATAAATCTGATAAGCCGGAAATAGAAGTTGTCCATATATGTACCTATTTTATCGAACCCTAACACCGGTCACTACTTAAAATAGGTGATACACGTGTATCGAGGGTGTGAACTAGACGATTTTATTATAAATTCTATCCTATTTGTGAGCAATAAAAGCAATATTAATTGTGTTATAAACACTAATTTAAGGTGATGTTACGACCAGTAGAAACTGAACTGAGGGTTATAAAATAAATATATGTATATAAGTAAAGCCCCACCGGTATTATTTGTTTGTGTTTTAATTTTCAATTGTCAACATTAGTGTTAGTGCATCTTCTACATAAGAGGGTTAAAAACAGTTAGGCATTTTATGCGGTGCCACCGCGTACCGCCACGGAGGACGGCGACAGTTAAGCGGATTTCTTAGCGGTGCGCCGCGCGCTGAAGCGGTTTACGCGTCTCTCCACGCGGATAGATTCAACACGGGTTTGACCAGTTAGTTTACAGACACTTCAATTTTTAAATTATAACACGTCCTGCACCCACTATATTCCGCGCCCAGTGTGTGAGGTGCCGCTCCGCACATACACACACATACAATATATGCTTCAAAACCTAAAAATACCTAAAACAGGTAGATGCGTTTTAGGCATCTCCGGCTTTCATAGAGGTCAATGTGACATGAGATTCCTATACCGCCTCAAAACCTAAAAATGCCTATAACAGGTGTATGCGTTTTAGGCATCTCCCGATTTCATAGTAGTCAATGCGACATTCTCCGTGTACTGTGTGTTAATCGCCTTACTGGGTTCATATTTATAAGAAAGTCTTTAAGGCCCGAGTGAATAGGTTGCTTATGGGACGACGTGCTCCATCGTAGACCGCATCATCGCTTACCACCAGGCGAGATAGAGGTCAAACGTCGGCCCATCAAATATATAAAAGCGCTACCGTCCAGTTCCTCACAAATATAGTCCCTTGGTCAGCTAAACACAACTACGATAAGTAAAGAGATTGTGCAAAATGTACTTCACTCGGCTTTCGCCACATTGCTAAATTTCACCAATATAGTTAAAGAATAACAATATATTACTATAGTTTTTCCTACATCGCATTCACGTTCTACGATAAAATAGTTTAAACAGCCCCATTAAATGTTTATTACCGTATATATTTACTTAGAATATATATACATATATATAAAACTATATCGCACGTGTTTACGATAACCGCCATCATATATTTTATGTTAGTTTTAAATCAGTTACTGCTGGGGTTGTTATATCAGGTTTTGAATATAAGAATAAGTAGGTTTTAACCGCGGCTTTACCCGGGAGCACTTAATTTTATTTTTCATATTTTTCCTGGGAACACTTAATCGTTAAAAAAGTATCTTACCACCTAAGTCAGCCCATATTCTGCCTATATGCTAAATTTCATCAAAATCCGTGTAGTAGTTCCAGCATGATTAACGGACAAACATTATACATCTAAACAAAGAAACTTTCACATAACATAACAGCACGCCCTTTATCCCCGAAGGGATAGGCAGAAGTGCACATTACGGCACTTAATGCCACTGTACAATGTAACACCCACTTTTCACTATTTATGTTATGAGTCCCATTTAATAGGGGGTGAGCCTATTGCCATATACACACACACACAATTCCAGACTCCGTGTTACTACTGAGAATATTGTACGAGCCGTATTGCTCATACAGCATCTTTATATTGAATGCAAACGTATATGTAATGCATCGAACTAATAACTTTAATTAATCGTACACAAGTCGTAACAAGGTCGCTGTCACGTGCTAATTTGTAGCAATCGACACTAACTTAGAACACGTACCTAATACCCAATAATTTCTACTATTCCTATTGGAATTTCTTGCTGCGGACCTGTGGCAGGAAAAGTAAAAATGATATAAGACACAGTATGTAATAACAAATCCCACCAAAAACATTCTGTAATGCAGATTGGTGCAATGGCGTCTGTGGTTCCATGACACCATTGCACCAATCTGTGGCCAGAACCGCTACCCATTAACGATGGAAAATTGCCACATGGTAAACGTGGTATTACCCTTCAACGGCCAAGTCACACAACATTAACTAGAGGTATAATAATAATGAAATCGCAGTACGGAACCAACGGATTGCCACAAGTGTTACCAGGGCTGCGGCTCAAAGCAGTAGTAGGAACACAATGGTTTTACTCAGTAAGAGTCTGTCACTCTCAACTCAAACCTTTTTTTAAGAGGGGAAAATCATCGAATGGCTTTTCCCGCCTGGGTGAGGCGGGACTCTAACGGACTAAAAACGACCCCGTTCCTACTCCTGCACTTCGAACCGGAGCCTCTGTATCCCGTTAAGTTCTCCGCGGCTCCGTATAGACATCAGCCCTATTGGGCCCCATTCGTATATACCCCATAGGACTTTGATATTGCTAAGAATTTCAAATCGAAACCCGAAACGTAGTCCTCACTTGTAGAATTTTTTATACCACATCTTTTAACTCTTAAATGTGACTAAACCACATTAAACCAAAGTGGCTTAACCTTTAAGCACTTAAATGCTACTTTATTTTCAACGTTGGACGTCATTTCCGCTGCGCTCAAAGCTAAAAGAGGAATGCTTGAAAAAGGAACATGGCCGCTCTTCCGGTGTTTAACTTGAAGGAACTAGCTGGGATTATGAAGTCTAGTCTAGCGGGTGTATTATCGGGAGTGAGTATTATCTAGCGTAAGCTTCATTCTTTTTTTTGATAATGGCTACTCGAGTTCAAGATGCAGCGACATCCTTTTTGATTTGGCTGTTCTTCTTAAAGATAGTTTAAGGTTTGCGGTCTCAAAAACCTTTTGCTATTTTCGGGAAACCTAATATATGACTAAAACTTTTTTCGATGCAGGAATCACACCACACACCCATTGCTCGGCTTGAACAACTGTCGTTAAGTACTTCGCGAAAAGTGTTCGAATAGATATTTATTATTTAATACAGCATATATATTCTCCTTCGCATAATAAAATACCCCATACCTCGTTTATAACAATTTTATAGTTTCAGTCATCGTTTTCAATTTCAATTCTTCATTTATGTCCTATCTTTCATAGCTAAACTGCCAGCTGTTTGCACTATCTCCGGTTTAAACGAGCTTTATAATCGATTCAGAACCCTATTTACTGACGGATAGAACTTATTATGGAGTAATGTTCCATCGCAAAATGAGATAGTGCTAATGTAGATATTGGCATAGAAATATAGAGAATGACAATAGATTTATTTTAAAAGGTTTGTTTTAAGAATTTTGTATACATATAGCAATCCCTATATATTTGATATTTTGAATAATATATGGTGTTAAAAATGCAAATATATAATTAAACTAGCTTCTACCAACGGCTTTGCCGGCGTTCCCAGGGTATAAAACTGGCCTATATGTTACTTCCGCGAGTCGTCCGCGAACTGCGCGCGTATATTTCACATTTTTATTTATATGAACCTGGTATGCGTTGAACACCAAACTATTGCTGTGACTGCATGCACGCAGCTCGCGGGTAGCCCGCAAACTGCTGGCGAGCGCAGCACTTTCGCGGTGTATTCGCCAGATGTGGACGTACCCTTATAGACGGACCCTACTATAGAGTAACAAGAACGTTACCAAAGACACATCACTTACCTATATATTCGGCAACACAAAATAACCGCTTACCTACCCATTCCGCTTCACCTAGAGTGACCATCAACAACCATACGGACACACATTATATACAAAGTACATTTACAAATATATCGTGGAAAGTAGGTCCGAATCTGCGGTTACCTTAACATTAAGCCAGGCATATCACTCGAGCCCACACGACCGTGTTCAATAAACAAAGCGAGGGATAGAAAGCGAAATAAATTGTGTATTATTTCTGACAATATTCGAGAATATTTCTCATGTTTGTAGAGGCCGTATCAATAGGTATTATGTGATATGGTATATAGAATTGTTGATATAAGTATCATTCGTATCTAATTGATGATTGTACTGATATGAAATGAAACTTCTTAGTCTCATTAGGTCGATATTTAACTGGTTTGTTGGGACACATTCAAGTAATTTCTAGGTCAAATTTTTATACTTTGAAATTAAGTACACCGTAATAGGTACAAAAATATAAAACATTTCCTTACCTACATTACACAAATAAGACAAGTCTACAACGAGCACAATACACAATGTAACATTACTTCCAACATGTGCTTTAAGGCAAGGTAATAAACACTAAAATACACTGTGGCAAGACCATAAATCTTACATATTAACATATTGTTCACATTCCCACTGAAATAAAGACTGACTTTACTTGCTTTATATAATAATATATGCTGCTAATTCCAGTCACATAATGAACAAGCCACGAAGTTGAAATGCCGCAGGAATGTTAACAAAGACTTTTAGATACAAGTTACAAAGATGCTATGTTAACAAAGAAGCTTAGATATATGCTAACAAACGTGTTTAGACTTCAGATATAGCGTTTACTAGTGCTTTGCTCTTAGTAATTCTGGAGATTGTTCTTTTGCGAGCAATTTGGGCGAATAACTTTACTGTGGTACGGGTATAGAGACTTATTTTTAGGACCTTTTTGCCTTGTACTCGTTTAGTTTGACAGAAACACTTAAATATTTTGTTAATGATGTTGACTATGAATAGAATATGTTTATTACTACCGCTCTTCTGTGTCATAAGAACCAATTAAAGGATTATAAATTCGTAACGCTTTCTTAGGCTAAGGAGTCACGATGGAATTTTCAGTTGCGCCCGCCCCGGTACAAGATGAACGCCAGAGGCGCCGCAAAAATAGTCGTCGTAAAATGTGCTTTAAATTTTTACAAAAATTATATCTATATTTTACAATGGCTGCGGGCCCGTGACTGCGGCGGGCGCAGGTAAAAATCGCTTTGTGATACCTTAGCCTTAAGAGGTCTCAGCTTGGTACGTGCGGAGATTACAGCAAAACTTCTTTATCGAAGTTCATAATCTAACAATGTGGAATGTCATAAACTGTTAATGATGATAAACTGTTATGAAAACCTACATAATTATGTACTTAAATCTTCAAGTTCATAATAATTTAACCTCGGGCTACATTGTTGCTAAGAAGTACTAAAATGTGTTAAAAACTAATTTATGTCAAAACTTTGTTAATTTGAGGAACTAAAACTTCAGATTTTCATTAAGGTAAACTTGTACTTTGTTAAATATTTTAATTAATTTGTTGTTGCTCTAGTGATGTATTTTTGAAATATTCTATAGTCGTTGACTTCATGAGTCGAGTGGTCATAAAAAGAGCTCTCAGTTTAGATTGGTCGGGTAAAGAATGAGGTACTTAGGGTTTTATCGGTTTTTTCGCTCGGTAGCCGCCCTTGTGATCACTTGACCTTCAAAAGGAGTTGGTGATCACAGTTTAAAAAGTTCAGGATTATGCAAGACCGCTGCTACCCGGTCTCTGTGAAATGTAGAGTGAGTAAATCCTTATAAGTGTTGGTATATCTTACGATACCAGCGGTGAAAGCAGGGCTAGTATTTTAAGTGTGGGAGAGCTATGCTTCGGCATGAATGGGCCGGCTCGACCGGAGTGATACCACGGCCTCACAGAAGACCGACGTGAAACAACGTTGTGTTGTGTTTCGTCGTGTGAGTGAGGTTACCGGAGGCCCAATTACCCCCCAAAACAAGGGAAGAGAATTGTTGGGGATCCCAGAATCCCCAACAATTCTCAAATTCCTAATCCAGAACGCCGGTACCGCACTTGTAACGCCTCTGGTGTTTCAGGTGTCCATGGGCGACGCCGATTGCTTACCATCAGGTGATCCGTAGCTCGTTTACCGACTTATCCCATAAAAAATAATAAATAGTACTTTTAAGCCTGCCAATACAAAACTGTAGACGGTAAACTCTAACGTCGCGTCGGTCACCGGTGACTTTCGTGGCGTTTAAAGGTACAAATGTCCAGAGAATGATGCATAACGTTTTTGTCCTACCAGGGTCGTAACGGTCTGGGCAACATCTACGTGTGGGCGAGCGGTGATGGCGGTGAGGATGACGACTGCAACTGCGATGGTTATGCAGCTTCCATGTGGACCGTCTCCATCAACAGGTTGGTTATTTACCTAGGACTCTTCCTTATAAACTACTTAATAATGATAATAGTTACTGCATCGTTGGCTGAGTGGTTGCATGTGCGATTGCTGGGCAAGGGGTCTCGGGTTCAATTCCCGGATCGGGCAAAATATTACTGGGTTTTTTAAAAATTCTCAGTATTAGCACGGAGTCTAGAATTGTGCCCACTATATGGCAATAGGCTCACCCCCTATTACATGGGACTCATAACATAAATAGTGAAAAGTGGGTGTTACATTGTACAGTGACATAATGTACGCCTCTGCCTACTCCTTCGGGGATGAAAGGCGTGATGTTAGATTATGTTAGTTTTTCTTGTGATAGGTTAGCGAGCAGACGGACGGTAAGCAATCGGCGCTGCCCATGGACAACCGCAACACCGGAGGAGTTACAAATGCGTTACTGGCCATTTTGGGGACCTTTTTACGATCGGCTACGCATCACTTCGAGGAGCCGGTCCTTTCGTGCCAAAGAGTAGGCAGTATGGCTATCCGAAGTGAAATGTTTTTATGGTAGTGAATAAATAACTTCATTTGCCGATCATTATAATTCATTTATTTGTACATATGAACAGTCAAAGGTCAAAAGTCCACTGCCACCGAGAGTAACTTAATTTCATATTAATGTGCGTAAAAACACACGCACACGTACGCAAACGGATAAAAATATGCGTGTGCATGTGTGTATAAGCGCCGCAGCGCAACCGATAGTAGTCTTACGGTGGCAGTGGACTTTTGACCGTTGACCGTACAATTCCTAAGTTTTCAGCATCCTTTGGTAATGTTTTGGCGAATTTTTGATACAGATGTTGTCAACGTTACATTGTTGGCGTTTTTTATTTAAGGGTCTTGCTTCTGTTACAAAAACGTCGTGTGTTAAGATTTTTTTTTCTTTGGCAACCGAGTCTCCAATACTATTTTGTCGACTATACTGCCAGTCGAGTGATGACGGCAGATTGAGGCACCGTCGAGTTTTAACTTTGCGGTAGTTTTTAGTTGATAGTAGTGTGTGTTAAGTTAGAACCTCCTAAGTTACAAAGTTACCGTCACTATTTACGACGTAGCCATTTGTCAAGCTTGCTCTAATTTTAAAATAGTTGCAAATACTTTGTTGTTAGGTTTCTTATCCGGTTTTATTATACTTCTATATATAAAATAGGGAACATTTTAAATTAAATATTAGATACTTGATTAAATAAATATATGTAGAAATATGTTGGTTCTGAAAATGGTGTATTAAATATTCACAAAGTTATATAATATGACTGACTGCCTCGTTGGCCGAGTGATCGTAAGTGCGACAACCGGGCAAGGGGTCTCGGGTTTGATTCCCGGGTCGGGCAAAATATTACTGGGTTTTTAAATATTCTCAGTAGTAGCACGGAGTCTGGAATTGTGCCCGCTATATGGCAATAGGCTCACCCCCTATTACATGTGACTCATAAAATTGTGAAAAGTAGGTGTTATATTTTACAGTGGCATTAGGTGCCTTTATTTGCCTACCACTTCGGGATCTACCTAATATAAAATCATCTAACAAAATAATTTTGATTCAGTGTTGTAAGTACTATCTATTCAAAAATTAGTATTCAACCGAAGTCAATCAAGTTCCAACCATTTTACAAAATGTCAACTTACTTTGAAAAATCGAGGGTTTTTATGTAGATACCTCGGCTCGGGTTTTGTGACACCCGACTATTTAAAAAGTTTCTTTTGGCATTGATAAAGTGGCTTTCTAGGGAGCCATTTATTTGATTCAGTCTTCTAAATCTGGAAAACGTTTGTAAAACATAAAAGGCTTCATTTATTTAGGAATCATGAACCATATTTGGTACCTTTTATTCTAATGAAGTAGGTTTTATTACCAACAGCAAGTATCTATGTGAATTTTCCGAGATATAGTTATGTACTTTCTAAGAATATTTAGACACCACTGACAAATGGTGAAGGAAAACATCCTGAGGAAACATAATCTTATAATTTCTAATTATAAGTTTAAAATCGCCAACCCGCATTGAGCAAGCGTCCTGATTAATGCTCAAACCTTTTCCGTGTATGAAGAGGCCTTTGGTCAGTAGTGGCTACTTATAGGCTTATGTTGATGTTGATTTTAATGAACACTTGATCAATGGTTGACTTAATATGTAGTATCTATTTCGCCATCTATCCCTTTATAGCTATCTTATTATTATAAACTATTCAATATTTTGTCTATTTATATCATTCACTTAGATACAGTCGAAGTAAATAACATGACAGCCGAAAATATTCGGACTGAGATCGATTTTTGATATTCATTAGTGGATTCTGTCAAAAGTATTGATCAACAGGTTTTGGATTATTATGAGTTATTATTTTCAGTCGATACTTAACTTTTTCTCTTGAACGCACCCACGACGGGTGCGTTTACAACTATACAAGTTCACATACAAATGACACCCAGACCAGAAACAACAATTTATATATCACACAGTTCCTCCGTGTGGAAATCGAACCCAATATACGTTGCCGGGCAGCCATTTGCCCAGCCACCGCACGTGCAGTCACAATCTCAAAATTGCCCACCTCAACAATATTTTATAACTTTAGTTTAATATTTCCAGTGCCATAAACGACGGTCAGAACGCCCACTATGATGAATCCTGCTCATCAACGCTGGCGAGTACATTCAGTAATGGCGCCCGAGATCCCAGCACTGGAGTGGCAACTACCGACCTCTATGGAAAATGTACTGCAACTCACTCGGGCACGTCAGCCGCTGCGCCTGAAGCTGCCGGAGTTTTCGCGCTTGCTCTGCATGCTAAGTAAGTTTTATTTTGAAGTTTAAACCTCTCAGCATAAGGCTTAAAATGAAATGTATAATCTTTCTTCTTGAATAGTAATTTTGCGAAAAAATGAAGAGACTGATTTCGAAAATCAATGAGAAACAGTGTCTTACTTAACTGATAATTGATAGGACCTAAAAACAACTTAGTTAAGGGTTTATGACTTTATTAAACTGTCAAACACCAAGCGGTCACCGGTGACCGCAACCTATTGTTCTATAATTGTGTCTACAAAACCGGTACTCGACGAGTTAAATTCATCGTCTGATTAAGTTTCAGTTAGCTTAATGGACACATATTCTGATATTTGGATTGGATTGGAAAATATGTCAATTTTCTGTCAAGTTTCTTCGGTCCTAACAAAAACTTAATCTAATTTGACTGAATGCTATATAAGATATTGAGGATATTTTCAGACAAACCTACAGTTCAAAATAAAAAGAATAACCTACAAAACATTTTATTCTTGTCTAAAGTGTCTCATTTTTTTTACAGCCCCAGTTTAACGTGGCGAGACATCCAACACTTGACTGTTTTGACATCAAAGCGAAATTCTCTTTATGATGCCAAGGTAAGCCTTAGTAAGTAAGCCAAGGTAAGTAAAAATAAAAAAAAGCCTTTATCACAAGTGGTCTGGTAAAGACTACGTGATTCAGATGTTCGTAAATCCTTAAAAAAGGCGCTATTAAAGTCTCTTATTTTCATTGAAGTTTATTTAATATAAGTACAACGAAAGAGCAACTGAAGTAACTGTTGAACATGTAGGACATGTAGGTTATTTATATCCCGCCTCATTTTGTCACACTGGTCAAAAATGGTGCCTTGGAACTGCGGACGACCAAGCGTTTTACCAGAATTCCAGTTCAAAGCAGAGTAGGAACGGGGTGGTTTTTAGTCAGTAGGATTCTGACACTATCTCTAGCTTCATGGCACCAAGCAAAGAAAGAAATATAGGTGATTTTCCCACTTAAAAAAAACCTAGTCAAAGTGGTCATATTTGACGAGTTTTTTGGTTTACTATTAATGTAGGTAATTGGGTTTGTTATTACAAACTTCGAGGTTAAAACTAAACTACGAAAATGAATAATTAGCGATTCAATACCTTAATTACATTTCGGTAACATAAACATAAATATTATTAAAATGAAACCAGACGTAATTCGCAGTTGATAATTACAAAATATAGCCTTCAGTTTATTGTAACTGAAAGTTTAAATGTCAAGGTAAGGAAGACTCGAAAAGCTAATGTCTGGCTAAATTATTAGACGTAATTATTATATTCAAATTAACTTTTAGTTCATTTCTTTATATTGTAGATTCATAATTATGTTGGACACATTTTATTAGAATAATTTTAGTAGTAGTCGAGGGGTCGCGGCTGCCGAGTAAGGGGTTTGCAGCTCGAACTTAATATTGTTAGCTTCTTTGGTTTTCGCAAATGTAAGTTGCTACACTGAGTTTTATTTGGTGGGGGAAAATTAACCAATAACTTCTTCCACCTTGGGTGAGGAGAGAGGAAGTGTCACTACTTGTGCTCTTCGAGCCGGAGGCCTTGCAACCCGATAAGTCTCCGTACCGGCATCAGCCCTATTGGGCCTCATCTCTGGTGATCTGAAGGCTCTATGAGGCGCGCGCTAATAATACTTTTACATGTCAATATTGATTTAAATAACTAGACGACACCGACATTTTTTGTTGGACTGCTATGAGAAATAATGCCTATATAAACTCAGGTGTCCTAGTATTATACTCGCGTTCCATTATATGAATCTTAAAAAAAACAGAAAACGACAGGAATTCCCGAATTCATAACCATAACGTATTAATTCTTCCGACGGGTATGATTTCGATGATTATTTGATTGAACGATATTCATTGTGCCTTCCCAGAATTGTTAAGAATTAATTTGAAGTATTTGGAAAGACTTATTTCTCAGAATTGTGTTTTAAGGAAACAGGTCGTTATTGAATAATCTTGTAATAATAATTGTAATTATTATTTCGTAATAATGGGGTTTCTGTTACTCAATATTTGTTTAAAAAGAAACTTGCTTTATCCGCGTAGAATATTATATTTTAGAACTTTAAATTGAACTATAATTTTAAAACCTAACATTTTTTGTTTCAATTTTCCAAAATAAAAATAGGCTATGTTACTCCTCAGTACATCAGCTAACTGCCAATTAAAGTCCAGTCAAAATCAGTCCAGCCATTCCAGAGATTAGCCGCCAGTACAAACAGACACACAGACAAACAGACAGACAGACAAAAATTGTAATAAATGTTATATGTATCGTAAGTCGTATTTAGTGTAATTGTACATATTGTGTGTAAGTGTATTCTACCGACTTCATCATGTGTATGTAGTTAAAAGCGGTTATTTTAATATACCAAACAGACATTCTTATTTTATTTATTACTATAGATAATTTATTTTGACATCACAACGTCTTAAGATACTTTTTCCTTATTCCTATTTTCGTTGATTGTAATCATAACTTTGCGTAATACGATATGCCCAAATATAGAAAACGTAACCTACATTATGTAGACTGACTGAACTAAACATAACATTGTGAAATAGGATCTTAATACTTATTTACATGTGTATGTACATATGTACAGTCAAAGGTCATAAGTCCACTGCCACCGTAAAACTACTATCGGTTGCGCTGCAGCGCTTATACACACATGCACACGCATATTTTTATCCGTGTGCGTACGCGTGCGTGTGTTTATGCGTACGCACGCGTTTTTATGCACATTAATATGAAATTACTAACGCATTGCCGTGTGAACATCACTCACGGTGGCAGTAGACTTTTAACTTTTGACTGTACGTACATAAGCTCACACCTGTCTCCTATGTGGGTAGGCAGAGATTATAGAACGTCAATAGGGAAGATGCAAATATGATAATTATGAAAATTTTATGATTAAATTGGTATTGGCCCTTCTTTTAGAGGTATATTGATATTGTGTATGTGAACTTGTATGTTTGTAAACGCACCCAGGACACAGGAGAAAATCCTAGTGTGGGGCAACGTTTTTTTTAAAAATAAAAAAAAAGTTATAAAAGAAGGGCTACTTCAACGTTGTTATTATAAATTAATTATATTGATTTTTAAGAATAATTACGAATTAAAGTTACGTGAAACGAAATACATATACGTGATAGACATTTTTAGCGCGGATATTTAAACGGTTCGTCTAAAACCGCATTTTTTACGATAAATTAGATATGATAATTAATATATATATGAGCTATTTTATATTCATCTTTTCATGCATACTCATCGGTTAATGGTACATAATACTTATTTACAGATTTAAATATATGTTTTTGTATTCCAGGGCCGTTTCCACTGGACGATGAATGGCGTAGGACTGGAGTTCAACCATCTGTTTGGATTTGGTGTGTTAGATGCGGGCGCCATGACAGCACTGGCTGCCAACTGGCGATCAGTGCCACCACGGTACCATTGCGAGGCTGGATCTGTTAATACACATACGTAAGTAGGATTTCTTTTATACTTGTAGCACTGAACAGTGTACCTTTTTTTTGAGGGGGAAAGTCATCCAATGACTTCTCCCGCCCGGGTGAGGCGGGAGGGAGTGTCAGACTCTTACTGACTAAAAACCACCCCGGTCGTACTTCTGCACTTCGAGCCGGAGTCCCGGTAACCCGTTTGGTTCTCCGCGGCTCCGTATCGGCATCAGCTCTATTGGGCCTATGCGTGGTGGTCTGATGGCTCCTTGACGGCGCGTGCGGATCGCGACGCGCCGTCCGCTCGGGATACTTTTCTACTAGGGCTGCACATTTTACAGTGACCAGTGTAATGTAGAAGTTGTCTGTTATGCTGCTAAAGATGACTGTGAAAATGTCAAAATCGATACATATTTAGTTTGATGGGAATTGTAGGAAACCGTATAGGAATGGAATTATTATTTTATTTAGCTCAGACTTTAATGAAAGAAGCCATACTATGATCTAAGCCGATAGTATTGGCGGTTAAGTTAAGTGTTTAAGGCTTGAATGATACCTACTGAATGTTGTGTTGTTGGGTGATTTAGAAAATACAAAATAACTAGCTTCTGACCGCGACTTCGTACGCGCAATCCCGTTTTCTCCCGTTGCCATAAGATTTGCAGGATTTTTTTTCTATCATAAGAAACTTCTCCTGACAATAACAAACACAACAAAAAATACCAGCCAAATCGATTCAGCCATTCCCATTCATCCAAATTGGTTCACCCACTCAAGTGTGACAACGGGAAACGGATTTTAACCAGTAGTTGCAACCAGTTTTGACAGAAAGGTACATTTTGCAATAGATTTATAATTTGTCTATATTTTCCAGCGAAATCCCCTCAGAAGGTCTTCTGACCCTGAAGATTGATACGACAGCATGTGCTGGAACACCGAGCGAGGTGCGCTACTTGGAGCACGTGCAGGCCGTCGTCAGCGCCAACGCCAGCAGGCGCGGTGACCTTGAACTCTTCCTTACCAGTCCAATGGGCACCAGGTATGGAACCACTGGTTTCTTTACATCTTTTAAGTTTTTTAATTTCTGTAAAATATACTTTTTAGCGACGTATATTTAGTACTCATGTTATTACGATTCATAAAGAACTAAAATATCTTAACAAATAATTATTTAGTGCCTAAATGCTACTTTCTGTTGTGTTTGATCAGCGTAGCAGAGATATTTTGGAATGGTGTTAAAATGTTGTAGAAGACGCAATGACTGGCATTGCGTCTTCTAAAAGAAATGTACCGATTTTGTCATATTTCTAATATTATTCAAATTCTTGTTGTTAATTTCCAGGTCAATGATTTTGAGCAGGCGTGCGAATGATGATGACTCCCGTGATGGTTTTACCAAATGGCCGTTCATGACCACACACACCTGGGGAGAATACCCTCAAGGCACCTGGATCTTAGAGGTAAGTTTTTCACGTTGTAGAAAGTAGGACAAAATTCATTAAGAAATTCCCAGTTATGTCATCTAAGTGACATTATATTTGAAATAATTGTGTTAGTAATTTGAATTTTGAATATGTAGTGTGTATTCATTTCCTTCGACCAATATTATACATACATATCTACATACATACGCCAATTACTACAATTCCTACATACCTCTTTCGCTTCATCAACAGTCATCAATCTTTTCATACATGCTCGTCGGTTAAGGGTACATTTAATTTGGTCCTCCTCTAATATAGGAGTCAAGAAATCAGCGCCCCTATGTGACCAACATTATGATGCCGCCATTTTGTAATTTGCATGCCTCGAGACGTAATATGGTCGGAACTGTATTATTCTGCTAACAACTTACATAATGTTCACAGTAACGTTACCCACATTAGCGAATAAATGATTTCGTTTGATTTGATTTAAGTTTGATCGAACAGTAATTGTTGTATTCTTCTGTTCCAGGCACGTTACAACGGTGGTCCAAACAGCAACTCAGGTGACTGGTCAGGGTTCTTCAGAGGCTGGTCCCTAGTGCTTCACGGTACTAGGGCACCCCCTTACGCCCAACTCCAGCCCCAGGACCCCCACTCAAAGCTCGCCGTCGTCAAGAAGGCGCACGAAGACAACGCGATCAACTAATACATAGCAACTAAACCAAGTTTTTATCACTGATCAGGGTTTTATAGTTGAGATGATTTTTTATTAATATTTGGTACAAAATTGTAGAAAAAAAATTATAAATCAAACATTCTTGTTGGCGCAATTTAAGTCATTTATCTTTTCTGTGAGGGTATATTTTTGTTTGAACGAAGGTCATCTTGGAATAAAGAAGAATGTTTTATGTGTATTTTCTGGAATGTGATGGACTGTTGAAAATGGGTTGGTTTTGGACATCTATTGCAGGGGTCTCAGCTACTGTCCTTCACTCAGACATATAGTTTTGATTCCGTTAAGGTCTATACTCAAAATAAATCAAACCCTTTCTGGTAATCAGCTTGATATTTTATAATCGGTACTACTTTTAATACCTAACGATTGAGTTTCATTATTATGAAAATACGATAATGACTACATTAAAATTGACTAAAAAAAATTATTAAAATAACGCAAATAAATGATCAGTGATTTAAATTTGGATTCGAAAGCAATGTAGGCATAACATTTGTTGCGGAAAATTAACTTTTTTAATTACAATCTCTTCCGAATACAGACAAATTACAAAACTTCAAAATTACAGATCGGTTAAATTTTTAATGACTCTGTAATAAATGTTATGTTTACATAAAAAAACTCGAGCGTCTGTAAAAACTTATGTATTTTTGTACATAGCTTTCACAGAAGCAAAAATAATTATATTATTAATTAAATTATTTATCTTTCTGTATTTTTTTGTTAAACGGTAACTGCGTATGTATTTCATCTATTTATATTGCTCTAAATTATTTTATTTTATGTATAATATTATTTGTTAATCATAAATAAATTAATGGAATGTTACCGTTTATAACTGGTTATGGCATAAAAAAGAATTGGCGGTTTTTTATTCAATTTATTTGTATTAAAAGGGAATTGATAGGTTGGATTGATTCCTAATAATAAAGTTGTTTTTAATATTTTTTTAATTATTTGCATATACTTGCTAGTAATATTGCTAAAGGATCAAAATTATTTTTCTCTATTTTCAAGTCATAACATGTGTTTATGGTAATTTTCAAAAACGATTCTAGTCATTTTGTTTTAAAATTTTATTAAAACTGTGCTTAAATTATGTACCTACTTGATTATAAATAAAATCTAAAAACCCGATTTTGTTACAAATTGAAAATATTATATATTTTTTCTTACATTGAATGTCGGAATGATGTTATTTTTATAATAAACTTCGCAGTAGAATGTAGTATATATATGTATATTTATTTTCTATGAATTTTGTTCATCTTCTTCGTAAATATAGAACTAACATACAGACGGACATATCAGGTAACGTCGTATTGCCGTACATTTGACACAAAATATCATCATCTATATATTTTATTTCATAAAACTAGAAGTTGAACAAGATTTATTATAGAATAGATACATTTTTATTCAACATTTAAATTTATTGTATTTATTGTAGCCAAATTAATTAATTTGTCATAAATATTTTGTATTTTTTATAGTTCATTAATGTAACCAATTTATTTAATTAATCTGTTTTAATTAATACGTTTGTAATGTTTGATTGAATTCAAATGGCCTTTATTTAACCCAGCTAAATGAAGTTCATTTGAATATTTTTGCGTTAAATAATAATGCGTGTCGCAAGCCACGTATGTTAGAGTATTTACAAAGAATATATTAGAAGATTATCGTTATCAAATAAGATATAATAAAGCTATTTATATAATAATAACATGATTATACTTCCTTTTGGGGCCCACAAACACTGAAAAGTAAATAAGCCTCTTTGCATCTATTTTCTTAAAGAATAAAATTTATTATTAAAATACAAGATTCTAGCGTTTTCACTTCCATATTAACCAAGTAATATTATGTATTAACATGTATGGGCATAACCGTAGGATTAATACAAAATCGTTAGGTATAATGGTTAAGAAATTAAAAAAAAACATATAAAGAAAAATATATTATGTACTACTATTATAGAAAATATAATGTGATTTGGTGTTGTATTTGAATTAAATGATGTTTTTGTAATTGCTACTCCTTTCCCTTTTATAGTGCTTTTTGTTAGGGTTGAACAATATAAAAAATTAGGGGTCCAGGTTAAAAATTGTAACTGCCTAGTCCAAATACTCCATCGTCACTCATTTAAGACAGGTAGGGCACAGTGGGTAGGCCCGCTCTTTGGAGCAACCCGACTGGGGAAGCACCTCCATCTTACAGAAGACCGCAGCCAAATAACACTGTCGGCAATGTTGTGTTCCTGCAATGAGTAAAGTATCCAGATCTCCAGAAGATTTCTTGTGTTGATAGCGGGGGACCACCGGTGAAGCAAATGATACGGTCGCATGTTAGTGCAGGCGCGGTGTGTGGACGCAGCGGTCAGTGGGACCCAGTAAACGGTTCGTCGCTGGCCGCCCGCGGGTCAGTAGAGTTCCCGAATAAATTATTTTGAAATTATAACTTTCATGAGACATTTAATTACCATGTTTTCGGCTTTCTCACGTGACTCTTTGACAAGGAACTCGACTAGTTCCAAGTCATGCTCATAAACCATCTGAACACGTTAAACGCCATAGGGGTCACCGGTGACCGACGTTAGCGGAGGATTTACCTTCAACAGTTTTTTATTTGCAGTCAAAGGCTTAATATACGTCAAGATGTGAAAAAAGAAATGAAACAAAGCATAAATTTTTTAACATTTAATTTTCATTAACAAATGTATCGGACAGTTTGTTTATTTTACAATAGTTATAGCTATACACAGGGTATTGGAGTTAAGTACAGAACCTATTTATTACACTATATATACAAATATTGAATATATCTTAGTCCTGCCAAGCCGTCGTCGATAGCTGAGAAAAAAAAATGAACCGAATCAAAGGCACAAAACATTTTTAAAAACCATTTAACCAAGAAATAAAATTGCAAATACTTTTTACTAAAATACAGATTAAAAATAGAATGAAATAAAGGCCGTATGATAATTCTACAGCCTACAACCGACGACTAAGCCACATTTAAAAAAATATCTTAGGTTTGCAATTACTTAGGCTGATTGTATTTCAATGGACATAAAATTAATTAAATACAATAATAAGTGTCAGCTTATTTATTTATGGGATATCACATCGGGTATTTATTTATGATTAATTTATGGGGAAGAAATTAAATAATCTACTGCATTTTAATATTAGGAATCCGTATAACTTACTATGACAAATATATTTATGTTTACACATTTTTAAATGAATTGTAACGAATTTCATAGCACTTACAATAAAACGTAATTAATTCCATACATTTTTTGTATGATCTAGCTACCTTATTTTATACAAATTTTATTAAATTAAGGTACAGAACACTTAGAATCATGTAAAACATACAAATACGTACAAAAGCGTTCGTCACCGATTCACTTTAATTCACAGTTCTTTACTAAAGTCACATTTTTGTATGGTCCCATGCAAATTTTTGTTATTAATTTATTTGCTTCCACATTATGACCATACAATTCTTGTACGGCGTTGTTATTCATCATTTATTTGTATGAATGTTGTATGGTATCTCACAAACACATTTTTAAAGTTCGTGTTATATATTTTTTTATGGTTAGTAAACAGGTATCGGTCTGTTTAGTTTGTTGTATGGGTTCAAACGCCCATCTCATTGTATGGCCTGCCGTTGTGCATGTCTACATCAACGCCGCGCTCGGAGATCCCGTTGAGGCCATTCATGTGCCCACGGGAACTTAACTGTCAGAGGTCTGGAAACGAAAAATGAAGTAAGTATAACAAATACATGTTGGAAAATACAAGCTCACAAACATTATATATCGCATTATATGACTACCATAGTTCGTCTTCATATTGTTATAGTATATGTTATATGTTTCTTTGGCATCAGGCAAGATAGTGGCTAAAGATCGACCAACCAAATATAAAAAAAATATTATGCTGTTACTCTCACGTACAAAACGAATGAGATGAAATTCAAGATCGTATAACAATAAATTATTTTACTATGTTAAAAAACATCGACTTCAACCCCCTATTCTTTTGAAGTTGGTTAAAATTTAATGACGCTTTACCTGATCACGGAGTTTTTACCATTGAGAAGAAATTCCACTTGATCTAAGTGACTAAGCGCTTAAGACCACGGTAGTAAATTTTTCACATCTCATCTCCGATGGGTCACAATAAGTTCTAATCCTGACCTCTATAATTATGACTGATGTGTGTGTGGTTTGGTAGAAAAATAATAATATGCAAATATGGCTAACCCATGGTTTCCTGTTGTAACTCTAGTTTGTATGCTGGGTTGTCGTACGGCGGGAGCGACGACTCTCGAGGAGCAGATGGCACAGCTGTAAACATTGCGTTTAATATCTTAATGTTAGACGATAATGTAACTTTTTTAAGACCAAGTGGCACAAGTAAGCTATATCCCTAATCCATTTAAAGGAAGATGATCAACACTCAGCCTCTCTGTGATAAAGAGTTTCTCCAGCGCAGCAGTGACACAGTTACAGCTAGTAACAGGGTTATAAGCTTGTGAATGATGACAATGATGACATTTATTGAAACTGTTGGTTTGCTAGACCATTATCATTCGATGAAGGACATGAAGTCTAAAAAAAAACTGGGTGTTGGAATAAAATAATAATACTCAAAAAAATTAGTACGTACTAGTGATAGGCACGGATCGTGGTCGATGTCTCCGCAGCACCACGAGGAGTAGCAGCAGCGAGGTGAGCGCGCCGAGGGCAGCCACCGCCCCCACGCCCACCAGCGCGCCGTAGTAGTCGCCGCGGTGACGACTGGCCACTGACGAGGCTTCTATCTCGTCTGGAAGAAAAAAATTGTATACAAATATCTGTTTCATAGTTCGACGCAGTAATTGCGTGTTATGCAACGTGACACAGGTTCCATTCCCGTCCAAAACCATTACGTGATCCATAATTTGTTGTTCTGAATCTGGGTGTGATTTGTATCTATGTGATTGTGAAGTTGCGTTAGTATAACACTGGAGCAAGTGATAGCTATACTTATACTGAGGAGAAGCATTAAGGTATATAGATTGTAAAGGAATCGTGTTACGTCTATGTAAAACAAAAGTCAATAATACGTGAGTGTATCGGATCGGGTAAAACATCACAAGATCTTGGGCATATCATATTTAAATCCAAATCAAACGATGGAATGTTTACTTAAAAATGAACTACTTACTGTCAATAGGTTCAGGAGAATCTTCATGTTTTGTGTTGATTTCCAAAACATTACTAGTCTTCACTTTACCGTTCGTCAGGAACATTTCGAGCCATACACGACACCTGAAAGATAAAATAAGCAAATCAGACTTTAACTCATAATACACAGAGATCATAACATCAAATGTTGCAATTATTACATATTTGGTTTTTGGGTCAAGCGAGGTTTCATTATTGACGCCCACCGCGGGACCATAATCCGTCGATGTCATTTAAATCTCATCAGATTCACAAAAAAAAAACCCGACCGACAGATAAGCATTTCTTTATTGTTGACTTTCAAGCAATCAAAATGAGTAATTGGATAATTGATTCGATTTTAACTTTTCTCTATCAGCACCATAATAACGGTTTTTAGTAGGTTTACGTACTTCGTGTTAGGCTGTAATCCAGTAAGAGTAATTGCCGGTGGCAGATCTCTGGTAGCCAGGCGGAATTCATCCTGTTCTCTCTTGGAACCACAAGCGTGAGCTCCGCGGTAGACTCGAACCCAGCGCTCAGCTGGTGACGGAATACCACGCCACCATACTTCTGCAGCTTCTGAACCTACTGTCCTAGCCTCGATGGTCACCGTCCAATTATATGGGTCTGGAAACAATCAAAGTTATCTATCATTGGACAATGATCGTTATGAATAAATTGCTAAGGTTTGTTTTTTATTACGACAGTACACGATATATAATCATTTAAAAATATCGTTAGATAGTTAGACTAGTAAGATCTATCATGAGGTGGTAAATAAAAAAAAATAATGTATGTAAACATCGATGAATGAAAGTAATGGGAATTGGAATGACTATGAATGACTGTAATGGTACCGTGCACATATGAGCATAAAGTAGGTATGTAAGCACGTATTTTTCCAACTTATAAAAATAACGGTAACAGAAGTTAGAATGTAAGTACTCAAAAGCCATCAAGAATATAACTTACCAACATAAGGAGCGGTGGTGAACTCAATTCTGCCAGGATCGACAAGCTCAGTGGTAGCTTTAGGAGGCGGTACCAACACGAGTGATGCCTCGTACCGACTACCAGGTCGCAAGTCATGTAGCTCAGCCATGGACCGACTGTGGTGTAGGAGTTCTGTCATGCTATAGATCGGAGTACCAACTGGACGGTATCTGAGGAAGAATGGTGACAGATTAGAGTAAATTAATATATTTTTGTTATCAGTAGACTGTTTCTGTCATAAGCTGAGCAATATGGCCCTCAAATAGAACGATCTTTTATTTGTTTGAGGTTTTTAGTTTTAGATCAGGAAAAATAATTTATTTATGTATAGGGTTAAATTATTTTTTAAGCTCGTGTGAAACCGTTATAATAATTAAACCATTTTATTCAATAACGTATTTTGCGCCTTTTTGTCTCCATAGAATCCTACATTATTCAATATTATACCTCTAACATCACTAAAGGATAAACAAACACATTTTTATTGTTCGCCGATCAAAACTACAGTTTACCATTTAGGAGCCAGTGGGTACACGGCATTTTTACAATAAGCATATCTTCAAAAAAAATTACTTTCTACCTATATGAATATGAGTCTTAAAAAGTCATTTTACCTGACTTGAATAGCGTCTATGAACTGCAGCTCATCTTCGCCAAACCGTCTCCACGTGACATGAGCCACGGTGTCATTGACATCCATCATCGTCAAGCGACTGTCGATCTCGCGACGTTTCTCTTCTACTGTTGGAGTGGCCTGAATGTAAAAAAATATTAAATTAATGTTAAAAAAAGGACAGGACCTACATCTGCACATTATACCGAGTTGCCTTTTATAATTAAATAAGAAAGCAGTTTTAATCATCATCGTCATCATATGCCCTATGCCTAAAAGCCCACTACCGACCAAAGGCCTCTTCTCACAAGGAGAAGGTTTGAGCATTAACCACCATCCTTGCTCAATGATTTCGAAATTATAAGCAGCCCAGGTTTCCTAACGATGTGTTCCTTCACCGTTTGTTAGGCGTGTCTAAATTACCTTAGAAAGTACAAATAACTCGGAAAAAAGTGACATTGGTATTTGTCGCTGGTAGGTTTCAAACCCGCATGAGGAGCGAGTGTCTTAAACGTGCGGGCCTTAAGTTTTTATCAACTCACTACAAATCATTAAAGCTTTTCCTTTTTACCCGACTGTTGGAAAGGTGCACAAGGAATGGCGACGAATTGTGAAGCTTGCTACCACACTTAAATGATGCAGGAAGAGAATTGTTTTTTCATTGTATAATAAAAGTTAAAAGACAACACTCACCGAAGGCGAATCCAGAGTCCGTACTGTATAGATCTCACTTTCAGGTTCCACTGGAAGGTTGTGGAGATATAGTTTTCCTCTGATCTTATAAGTTGTGCCAGGAGAGAGACCGGTTAGTCTGAACTCTAGACGGGGCGTGGTCAGGATCTCGTCTGCTGGTGCGAACACTTGCGAGAACCAATGGGCAATGTCTTCGTCACTGGAAAAGATAAGAAAACGTATCAATATGTGTCAAATTGAATGAAAAATTATTGAGGTTATTTATATCCCAGGGTTGAGACGAATTCAACAAAGCGAAGACCGTGAAGACGTGTTATACTTATAAGTGGTGTAGGTAACTAACTTGCGTGTTTTAAATCTGTGTTTGAAGTCACTATTTTACAATTGAATCTTTAAAAAATGTGTTATAAAAATACACTACGCTAATAAAAACTTACGCCTTATCAGTATATCTCAAATCGACACTGCCTCTCAATCCCACCAGTACAGGTGGAAGTCCAAACAGCATCTTCACACTGGTAGGAGAATCCGCTTGCAGGGAAATGACAGTCAGCTTCTTGTTCATGTCTCCGTATCCTGGAGGAAGGGTCAGACCTGGTGGTAGACCCTGTAATGCAGGCTCACCAGGACCTACAGGTCTGTGGATGTTGTTCTGGTCGTAGTCCGGAATGTTCTCATCATGAGGGAAGTGGATCTCAGGAGGTATGGTTGGAAGGAATGACTGCTGAGATGGTCCATCCGTTGTCGTGTGACCTGCAAGCGAGTAACTCGTTGACACATACGAAATTATGAAATAACCGCACCATGGAGACATTTTGAATGGAGTTATTTTTCAAACGAGATGCTAATTTTTCTTTGTTAGTGGCCACTAGAGCCTTTGGAAAGAATTCCATTTAAATTAAAGACTATTTAAGACCGATCGACACAAATGCGTGATTCCAACTTGAGAAACTTGATCACTTTGATTAACTCACTAAAGAGTATCCTAATTCAAAATGTCTCTTTTTACATAAACACTAAACAAACTACGACAGTTTACAAATAGTTGTAGTTAATACAATAAGATGATCTTATGATTGACGAAACGATGTGTTAATCGCAATAGGAACACACATTACATAAACAATGCAACTAAAACAATAATTTGTTTTTATAAATGTGACGAATTGCTTCCTGCAACAAAGTTTAGAAAAATATACAGAAGATTGGAAAAATCAGTCAAAGTTGGAAGTCAGTCGTTAATATATTGAGCAACACATATACACCAAGGCGGGGCAACAAACCTGCCGGGTCCCCCGGATCTTTGTCTGCTGACCGTCCCAGGTTCTTATTGGCTACTGACTCCACATCCATCTGATTGAGCAAATGCTCTAAATCCAGTGTCGTGTACGTCTTACTGCCCATGTGTGTCGCCTTTGAGTTTTGAGTATATGTTGAGGCAACGTCAGGTTTAGAGTTAAGTACAGGTCTTAGTAACACAGTCTCGTAAGGATTGGGTTCTTTAGTCAGCACATGGTGTGCTTTGCTATCGTCATCCCACAACACGTCATGGTACATTTCAGTCGGTTTTGGGCTCTTCATGTCCTTAGTTTTAAGTATTGTCACATGCTTCCTAAATGCCTGGTCTCGACCACTACTTTGAGGGAGGATCACGTGAGGAATATGGAAGTCTATAGTGTTATTTGGTACAACGGGCTCGAATAAGTTCTGCAGATGCATATCGGACATAGTGTTAGATTTCATATCTTGTTGGCTTTTAGTATATTCAGGTAACGGACGCCTTTCCAGAGAGGGTAGAAAAAAATTAAGATTTTCTATTCTAGATATGGGCACTTTCCTGACCGGCTCATACACTGTTTCCGCAGACTGTTGAAGTGGGCGTGGAGTAGGCGCAGGAGGCCTATGAAAAAATTCGTGTAATTTCATATCTGGGGTAATGAAATTAATGTGCTGGTCACCGCGAGTTTGTTGGAAAGGTGGGAGTGGTTTCCTATAAGATTCTGGCACTTTTGGAAGTTCTTGTTTTCGGTGCTGTAGCTCCCAATTATCATGGCTACCCATGAGAGGTGGCTCAGGATGAATAGTTTTGAATTTGGCATCGACATCATTGAGGGTGAATACTGTGATATTGTCTCCTTGTGAACCAGATGGGGGTTTGGAAACTGATTCAGGTTGGTACTGAGCAACTACTGTGACTGTTGAAGGGAAGACAGTTTTAAGGTATTTGGGTAGTGACTTCACAGGGTTTAGGTGCCTGTAGTAGTCTACAGCGTCAGTCGTAAGAGGAGGGGTGGGTATGACAGGAGCAGATGTAGGTGAGCCAGGTGGTAGTGGCGTCACAAAGTTCATCATTTCACCGAGAACAGGCATGTTGAAACCCTGAAATGATGATCCATTTCCAGCTGCAAGTAATAATGTGCGGATGAGTGACATGCTCGTGATAGTGTGAAATGAACAATGATGAAGTGAATTTGATCTTGAATTAAGCATTATTTTTATCGCAATGATGAATGATGTTGTTATCAATGTTGTCGAATATAACAATGCAGTCGTATAAAGTGGTCATGGCGCAGAAGCGGTATCAAAATTAACGTTGACTTTTCTTCGTAAGAATGCAAATTTGTAATAAACTGCAGAATGGTTTCCTTACCAGGTATACATCCCCAATGCTTGCAGCAATCGTCGTCGGATATGTTGACGGGAGCTGGCCGATGGGCGGGAGGACAGCGCAGCGTTTGAGGAGGTACAGCAGGGAGGGGCGAGCACACCTCCTGGCAGTCCAGCTCTCCATTCTCACAGAAACAACGTTGTTCACAACCAGTTAAACTTATTGGCACTTCACTCCAATTGGGCACACTGGAACGAAAACATATTTTAGAACAAGTTTTTAGCTATGTTTAATTAGGAGCTAGAAAGGCGATGTGCTGATCTGGCCTAATTGACTAGGGCTAACCAGTATGTTTGATTCCTGGAAATCGAAATATTCAAATACCAAAGCAGTCTTTGGCGTATGACTATAAATATTCGATTTAAAAAATAACTTTAAATTACTTGCAAGAATTTCTTAAAAAACAAACAAACGGCACTAATAACAAAACAGACGAAAATGAGAAACTTTATAAACCCCTTTACAACAAGAAAAAGAAAAATTAATAACCGTTCCAAAAAGATCTTAATAAATTCTACTCACGCAACGCCTTTATAATGGCAGGTCCCATCACTCAGACATCTGGCGGTCCTGGGGCAGCAGTTCGGTGGAGTAGCTGGAGGAGAAGGTGCCCATCTCACGCAGCCTTTGGAGACCAGCTCGAGGCCGACGTGGGAAGGACACACAAGTGCTGCACACTCATGTGTATCTGGACCAGTGCATTCGCAGAGCTCCGAACAACCAATATGGAATTCATCACCTGGGAAGATGCAGGAATTGATTTTGTTATGTAGTTTGACTTTTGAGCTGAAATTCATTATTACTTCTAGTTTCATTGTTATTTTGTATGACGTCCTATTCCACGCTTAAAATCATCTCTCTAGTATCGAATAGTTACTAAAGTAATAGTATTCAAACTGTAACTTTAACAATGATCTGATACTAAAAATATTGGATTAAGCATAGCATTACCACATTTTTGCGAGTCAAATGCATAAAACAGTACGGTTAATAAAATAGCCTTTTGCCAACGAAGACCAAACAATCGTTTAGGAAGGATTAGATATTTAATATTCACAAGAGCATTTCATCCATTCCAACTTGTTATAAATTATTCATGTTTGAACAGGATGCACAGTTTGCTATCGGTTACATAGTATTACCTATTACTTTTCTAAATGCTATGGAATAACAAATTAGGATTGGGAAGTTCCAAAATGTAACTTCGACACATAAACTTGATTTTTGTCGAGGAAATATTTTGTTTTGTTAGCATTTTGCAACTTAGAGAGATCTATAATATACAAGGAGAATATAAACAATGATTTACAATTTGTCAGTAAATTTTCATTGAGTTCGGCTCTGACTATCCCCAATTAATCTAACAGTGAGGGATGCTGTTTTTCTATTAACGCTAAAATAGAATGAGGTCGCGTGGATGATAAAAATAAAATATCCTATGGTTTGATTTAGTAGTTCTGTATAAAACCAACAGGACCTCAAGTTACATTGGGATTGGTATCATCACTGGTCTTTATTGGCAGCCAAAATAGAATAAAGAAAAATAAATGGCTAGATTGAATATTTCAGAAAACTCACCAATAGCATAAAACTGTCCAGCATGATAACACCCAAGTTTGGAGACATTATGGATATCCTCATTAGGCACTTCATTAAGTCCATTGTCAGAAGCTGTTATAGTGAAGTTGAACTTCGTTCCAGTTTCCTTAGTCTTCAGTATATAATCTTTTCCACCTTCTAAATTCAGGATCAGGTTAGAATACTTTAATTCCACGTCGCTGAAGGACTTTCCACCATCATTGCTTAGGAGGAGGTGGATAGGATCCTCACTTTGGTTCAAATGCATTAGATTTACTTGAACAGAGTTGTTCTGCAGTACCTTCACTGAACCTATAGGTTCCGTTAGTACTAGAGGTCTTTGGATATTTTCAATTTGCTCGTCGTATTCTTCGAAGCCTTTGATCATCTGTGGAATGAAAATGGTTGAATGTTATTGACTGAGAGTAACTTAAAATTAACTTAAGCTTTTTAAGATTTGACCAACATTCATATTTCAAATCACAGTAAGATAGTTATTTAGTCTACATAAATATGATCTATAAGTTCGCCCTCATTGATAACGAACAATGAAACGATGAAAGATTACAATCGAACGAGGCCAGTTCTATCATAAGTGTTTAGAGTAAGTAAACAAAAGGGTGATTTAGTATTAAGGTATTTTTCACCAATAAACATTATTTTATTCTATACTTTTCTATTACTCTATCTACCTCAGTAGTGGTACTAGTGGTGGTAGTGGTAGTTGTAGTAGTAGAAGTGGTAGTATTCTCCGGTTCCTCGTGGGCATCGTGGCTGACGTCACAGACTTGAACTTCACAGCACGCATCGTTTGGATCCTGCACGTTGATGCACTTGTCCGAAACAGGCAGGGGCTTGCATCTATTGTACAAATTGAAAATTGGGATGATGACAGGGTATAAAAATTAAAAATTTAATTAGTCCGTAAGTTAGGTAATGAATAAATATTAGTCGTATAATAAAACAGTACTTAGATAAAACGAATCAAAGTTTAGGAGTGGGGGCTTAAACGTCATTTCTACGTATAAAGTGTACATAGAAGTGACGTCACGCGACATTTCAAATCAATATATCGTCGAAAGTATTCATTTCTGTAAGAAAATAAAAAATACGTGTCTAATGATTTAAAATAATCTACCAGATGGACATTAAAATAATTGACATGACATTGACATGAAGGTTATGTAGGAAAATTATGGAATATGGATATGTAGAATTCTCTATTGTTGTCTATCATCTCTTTTATAAGAAAGGCATTTTTCATTCACATATACATATAAAAATAAATATATCAAGATGTTTCTTATATTATGTAATTCCTATGCACCTAACTCAATTCCTGAAACTACGAAAATTATTTTTTTTGGAATATATAAAAAAAACAGAACAATTTCAAGTCAGTAGCTTAAGGGACTAATTATATTATTGAGAAATTATTTAATTGATTTTTATATTGACAGTGGTGGGTCAAATGCTAAGGATTTGCCATTAGTAATTTTATATCGTGAATCAAACCTATAAAATAAAATTTAATTACCTGGGTTTGCAAGTTACAATAGAGTTCGGTTCACAAGTGCACGACTGCTCACACCCAATGTGCCAGGTGGATCCAATCGGATGCGTTTCATTTCCATAGCGACACATAGCAATCTTCGAGACCTTCCCATTTTCTGTAAGTAAAATAAATATTAATTACCGATTTAACAACCTCGTAATTGGATGATCTAACTTTAACAGATTATTATCAAAACTTTATTTTAGACTGAACTTTGGAATATTTTGGGGAGTAATAACTAGGTGTAAACAATGGGCTTCACCCAGTTGTACAGTCTCTTTTCTTCGTGCCTTTAGGCTTAATTCACTCTGTCTCCTGCAATAATTCACCGAGGGAAGTAGAAACTATCGTTTTTTTTCAGCGATTTATAATATCTTTGATGATTCACATCGTTGCGGGAACCAAGACAGTTATTCATGTCCTTGGGACGGACTTCAGTATTCCGGTGTTTTCATGGTTGTATCTACTGTAGATCCTGGCTTACAGGAGTTGCAGCGGTTATGGGAGGTTGTGGCGGGCTTGTTCCATTAAAAAATATCGAAAGACAATAATAGAAGTTCAAGATGGAAAAAGAGATAGACATGTGTTTTAATACCTCTTTCTGCTTTAATTAACCTAAAAATACGAGTTACTCACGTAATATACTAAGAAAATCTCTACTAGTTTCGAGTCACAGAGGAACTCATCTTCATGAGCAGCGTGCACGGTCGCGGGGATGTCGCGCAGCCTACTGTAGCCTACAGCGTCAGTACAGTACAGCGAAACTAGAGTAACTCGTAATTTTTAGTTAATTCAGCATATCTCTACGATAGTTATTATAAAAAAAACACCCCTTAAAGAAATGTCGGTACCTAATTTAAAAGTCTATTAAAATAATTTAGAAACTTAACGTACATACTACCTTTTGTACATCGAAAAATTTCAACTCTCGAACCATTTGAAGTAAAGAATTTTAAGACTTTTAAGAATTTTAAGAACAAAATAATAAGTACCATTTCTACCTGTATTTCCAGTAGCACAGGCTATAATGGAGCAGCACTCGTCGACCGGAGACTCAAAGCAGAGAGGATCGTTCAATCTTCTACCACGTCGGATGTAGGGGTGCTTGCAGCGTGGAGAGCAATCAAATATTCCTCCCGCTATGCACTCGCATGTTTCCTCACAACCACGGTCCATTCGTTCACCAATCTGTACAAGGTAAAAGAAAAATGTTAGGTTAAGAAGTATAATATTCATTTTTATATGTCATAATGGACTGAAAACTCGAATTCGAACGATGTCGGTTGAGAGAACGTATTTAATATAATTTCTAATACACATGCGCCAAAATAACCGTACATCATTAGATTGAATGCTAATGAACCAGATATTGATTGATCTCGTTCAATTAGTACAGAAACGTCACTATAAAACCAGCAAAAAAATTAATAGACCATCTGCACATCAACCTGCCCCAAAATACTTTCATTTTCAACTTGGATACATACCTAAGAATAAGCTTGAAACTCTTATTCATGCTATAGGGTTACTACCCTTATTATATACTTATTGAAGTTATTGAAACAAATATTTCGACTTTAACCGGAGACTTTAACCCCAACCATCCTCAAATTCCTACTCCCCGAAAGGCCGGTTACGCACTTGTAATGGCTCTGCTGTGGCAGGTGCCAGGTGTCCATGGGCGGCGCCGATTGCTTACCATCAGGTGATCCGTATGCCTGTTTACCGGCTTATCCCAAAAAAAACTTACCTTATAAATAATCTCATTCTCTTTACACGTGTCCATCTCCTCCGACCCTCGTTCCACCGTCATCAGCGGATGGAATGGAGCCTGCAGATTAGCATAGAACTTCTCAGGCATATCCTTATGCTTATGTTCAACTGGTATCATCCTCGGTTCGTCGTCATCATCTACATCCAAATTAACATCGCTGAGATCTGTCAAATGTTTCTTTTGTCCTTTTGCATTCGTTTCATTGTGCAGTGCAATAGCAAAGTTTTGTAGTTCGTCTACATTTAAATGTAACAGTCTTGCTCTTGGTTTGATAGTTTCTTGGGTTGGTAAAATTGGATCACCAACTTCTGATAGTGGTGTGGGTTCAGTTTCTGGGTCTATTCTTCTTTCTGTTGTTGTTTCTATGTATGGTTCTGTTGTCGTTGTTGTGGTCGTTGTTGTTGGTGTTGTTGATTGAGGTTGTAGGCTTGCAGCCTCTGTTGTTGGTTGTCGCTGTGCTTGCGGCGATTGTCTGTTGTTCGCTCTTACGTCATCTTCTTCTCCTGTTATTTTACCTGCAACAAGAGGTATTTTATTAGTTTAGTCTTCATAGTTAGGTTTTGTAGTGTCTGATGTAATTGATGATCATGATGTAACTATGTTATAAGATGCGATTACGGATGAGATGACACAATAAGGTACATTGTTTTATAAATATAAACGCTAATCCTATCACAAGATTTGATCATAGCATTACTCGTCGACTACAATTGCTTCAATCATGTTTACTCATCAATTATAATCAGCAAAAACTCAATTATTTGGCAAGAAAGAAATAATTGAGGAAGATCAAATGATACCAGAACAGTTAGATATCCGTAACGATAATGATATGAAGAACTAATAACCAAAGGTTAATGTCAGCAGGAAACGTTTACCTCAGCAAAAACTTGACTTGAAACTAGGGCAAGGTCAGTAGGCGACACTAGTCATGTACCATTAGACTCGCCCATTACTCTACAAGCAATTATAAACCATGATCCACTGTATTAAAGTCTACAGCCAAATGAAGAAGTAAACGACCTGTCGATCGAAATCAAAGTAACTGTCAACGAATATCGATTACGATAATGATGGTTATGGTGTTTCAAAACTGTAAAAAGGTATATTAAACCTTAAAGTTAAATAAATAAGAGTGCATTCTGTGACAATGGTATATGGTACTCCAAAAATGTAACAAGGAAAAATGAACCTTCTGTTCCATAGATTTAAGTATGTAATTTGCTCGTTGTGTGCACGAAGAAAATACGTGATGAATTTAGGGCGAATAAACTTGAAACAATTGTCGATCGTGAGAAAGTTGTTCGTGGATATCAAAACAAATGATTGTTTCTGTTTTTAAAACTAAATAAAGGAGGATCGTGTGTCCTAATTGCAATGCATACTTGACCTTGAGTTCTCACGATTAGAGTTCATTGTTCCAGTGAGAAATTTGATGGATCATTTAGGTATGTTTAGTATAATTTTTTCAATAAGAAACTTTATTGTTATACGCACAGGTGTTATTTTTGTTTAAGTATTCGTGTGAAAAAAACCGTAATGACTTATATTGTAATTTAAAAGCGATATGTTCTTATAGAATCTAAAGAATGGTAGGTATTTTTATAAATACCTACCATATTTTTTACATATTTTTTCTGCGTATATTGTGCCTATTATTAGGCACAATATACGCAGAAAAAATATGTGTGAAAAATAACATAATAATATCCATGACTAACATACCGGAGACGTTTAATTGTATAAAGAATTTTCAGTAGTTATGTTACAATAGGGACAACACAATAGTAGGTGAATGTTTAATAATAACATAGGACCACAACAACTGTACTCAAATTCGAAAGCGTAAGAATACTTTTCAGGAGGTGAAGTGTGGAAGAGTCATGCTTCTTCGGCACAATTGGGCCGTCTTAACCGGAATGATGTCACGGCCTCACAGAAAACCAACGTGAAACAAGACTTGCATTGTGTTTCATGGTGTGAGTGAGGCCCAAGTATCCCTCTCCCCAACCCTTGAATCCCCAAATTCCTAATCCTCAAAAGGCCGGTAACGCCTCTAGTGTTCCGGGATAGCTATAGATATATATACCTCTACCAAAAAAGTAGATCCTCGACGAATCAAAACCACTTGACAAGTGTGAACTCTTTAAAACACCAAATAATATTGTAGGTTTACATACATAAATGATATGCTTATGTTAATATCTTTCTGTGCACCTGCGGGCCACATTAGCATATTGTATGGCACAACTTTTATATACAAATATGCAAGTCGATCATTCATGCAATACGCATTATGCCAGTCTCAGTTTAAGGTTAACAACCGTTAATGATATTAAATTAGACTATTTGCACTGGTACTATTGCATAAACGGCCACGGCTTCACAGAAAACCGACGTGAAGCAACGCTTGCGTTGTTATTCGTCGTGTGAGTGAGATTACCGGAGGCCCAATTACCCCCACCCTCCCTAGTCTCCCGAATCCCCGAATCCTCCACAATCCTCAAATTCCCAATTCCCAAAAGACCGGTAACACGCATGTAACGCCTTAATGTTTCGGGTGTCCATGGGCGACGCCGATTTCTTACCATGAGGTGATCCTTCTGCTGGTTTACCGACTTATGCTATAAAAAAGTCGATGTTTTTATTTATGTAAACTTTTTCTATCCCACCCCTATTTGCGTCTGGGTGACTAGCTAACTGACAGACTTAACTGCTCGTAAAAAACCAAAAACTTGATTAGTGTTTTGGGAGTGTTAGAAAAGTATAACAACCTCATTTTACCCCATGCTACTTACAAAAACCAATTCAAAGTTGGTCATCATTATGGGCCCATATGAGTATTGAGTCGTGGTGGCCCGGAGGTTTAAGACGCCCACTTCTCATGCATGAGGGTGCGGGTTCGAAACCTACCAACGGCAAGTACCAATGTGACTTTTTCCGAGTTATATGTACTTTCTAAGATTATTTAGACACCACTGACAAACGGTGAAGGAAAAACATCTTGAGGAAACCTGAACTTATAATTTCTAATTATAAGTTTGAAATCGCCAACCCGCATTGAGCAAGCGTGGTGATTGGTGCTCTAACCTTCTCCGTGTGAGAAGAGGCTTTGCTCAGCAGTGGGCATTTATAGGCTGTTGATGATGGGCCCATATTTGTTCATATAACAGATGATGAGATGAGCATACATCACTAACTCAACGTCCGCTCTTGCTACCCATTAAAAAATTTGTAAAACCGAATAATCGCAGCCAAAGACCTTTACCTAGCAGTCACAACTGCGACTACTCGATTTAAGAATCGATATCACATCGACAATCACGATTAATAAATCGATACTGTGCGGATATCCTTAAGTCTGTAAGTGAATGATGGCCTCAAGTCGACCTCAGCTGGATGTAGGTTAGCTAAAGGACGCGAATGTGCAGGTGGACCGGTTGTCTGCGCGTACGCATGACACGGACCCGTCTACTGAACGTTGTTTACGTTCTAAAGCCGTAGTATGCTAATTTATTTTATTAATTGTTGATTATTTATTAGGACAAACAAGTGACATTATGGACAGTAAATATAGCTTAATATTGCTTCAATTATTTCCACTCTGCGCTGGTAAGCAGAGACGATAACGGGTAAGTTCACATGCCGACTAGTAAAAAATACATTTACTTAAATAATTCTTCACGTATAAGTCTAATTATCCCTTCTAGGTGTGATGTCTTGCTAAATACATTTTAGTAACTGTACACAGCAATTTGTACTGTTGTGGGTGAATATAATATGTATTTTTATAAATTCGTATTTGTATAAACACGTTTTGATATTTGTAACACAGGTGTTGAAGTATTCGTACTTGTTTGAATTTAGATTATTCAAAATTCTCAAGGCATCTGGAATTATGATCGATGAATAACCAGAATTTCCAGAAGATAACTTCTGGAATTCTGATTCCCTTAGCCCACATCGAAACATACAAAAAAGTAAACTAACTATACGATACACCGTTATATTCTTTATAATCTTGAACTTGTACCGAATAATATGGCGAACGGTTAACAAGAAAGTGGGCCAGACGACCTGACCATCGAAAATGCAACGCGAAATTCCAGTGACTAACTAACAGCTCGCAACAGTTGCGTAAATCGCGTCAAGCATCCGCCTTCATAAGGGTGACGACACATTGGCGGTGTTGCACGAAAACGCGCGACAATGTCAGGATCACCGCGCCTTGCTTACTAATGCCTTGTCTTGTCTTAGATTTGCATCATAGAATATGTATTAGTCTATAACATATTCGGTGTTGAGTTCAACATTCTTAATGCTTCATTTTTTATTCGTTATTAAAAACAGTCTGTGATAGCTTGCTTACTTGTCGACTATGCCTTATCTACACAAGACACTTATGATGATATTATCTTCACATTTGATAAGGGGATGGAGACGTCGTTTTAAAGTATCAGATTCATCAGGTATTGTTGCCCTGTCCGATCAAAAACCGACCTTAATCCTAAATATCTTAATCGATCTCTGTTTTTGATAGCAATTCCATTCATATAATGTAAAAAATCGATCGCAATACACAGATTTTGAATTGAAATCATTAAATCGGCTATTCAATTCAACAAATGCACACTACATGAAGTCAAAGCATTTATTTCAATTAATCCTTAATTAGGCACTTTTGACACGTCAAAGTTTTTATTGTCCATCCTTCTGTCTGTCTGTAAAGCTAGGCGCTCGTATCGCATAGCAAATTCTTTTAGTACCTACTTATTTATACCCTTTTTTTATCATTTACGGTTTCAAGTTTAAGATTTTTAATTAAATAACAACACGATCGCCCTAAGGTCCAATATACATATGTGTATGATCCACTCACGATTCACTCGTCATTGCATGTCGGTTGCTTGAACGTTGGCATCATTTGTCACGACTTTTGGTTCATCGAAGTGTTAGTAGTAAAATAGGCACTTATTTATATTAAAAACATGTATCATTAATATTAAATTATAAGGTGCTAAAGCCAAGGATACACTGAGGGAAAAATGTCCTGTGACGCGTGTCGCCAGCGACGTTGGGTGAAGCAGCGTGATGTTGCCTGACTTTGGCCAACATGACTGGCAACATCAACGTCGCAGTGGACATAAGTCGCGCGTTGTCGGTTGTCGCCATGTATGTCAGGCGAAGTTAAATGTCGCGGGACATTTTTCCCATAGTGTATTCCTGGCTTTAAAGCTAGTTAATCATCTTTGTAATTTTAAGCTATGTAAAATATGTTATACGCCATTAAGTACTTATTCATAAGTTACTTTAAGATGCTAATTTAGTAGATTATTATGGCATCAATATTAAGTTTATTTGTTCTTTAGATAAAGTGAGACACAAAATTGTTATATTTATTTAGAACGTGTTTTTTGGGCAGTAATTTACTATATAAAAATAAGTCGGGTTTTCCTTCCTGACGTTATAACTCCAGAACGGACGAACCGATTTCTACGGTTTTGCATTTGTTGGA